TCATGTGATATTTGTCTTTCTCTGACTGAATAACTTTGCTTAGCTTAATACCCTCTTGTTCCATCCACATAGCTGCAAGTGGACAGATTTTTTTTTTGATTGCCGAATAATACTCCGTTGTATATATCACCACATCTTCTTTATCCATTTGTCCGTCCATGGGCTTGAGGGCTCTTTCCATACTTTGGCTATCGTTGGTAGTGCTGCTATACACATTGGGGTGCATGTGCTCCTTCGAAACAGCACACCTGTATCCCTTGGATAGATACCTAGTAGTGCAATTATTGGGTCACAGAGTAGTTCTATTTTTAATTTTTAGGGACCTCCATACTGGTTCCCAGAGTGACTGCACCGGTTTTCATTCCCACCAGCAGTGCAAAACAGATCCTCTTTCTCTGCATCCTCGCCAACCTCTGTTGTTTCCCGTGTTGTTAGTGTTAGCCATTCTGACTGGCATGAGGTGGTATCTCATTGTGGTTTTGATTTGTATTTCCCTGATGATGAGTGATGTTGAATATTTTTTCATGTGTCTGTCAGCCATCTGGATGTCTTCTTTGGAGAAGTGTCTATTCATGTCTTCTGCCCATTTCTTCACTGGATTATTTGGTTTTTGGGTGTTGAGTTTGATAAGCACTTTATAGATTTTGGATACTAACCCTTTATCCGATATGTCATTTGCAAATATCTTCTACTATTCTGTCAGTTACCTTTTAGTTTTGCTGATTGTTTCTTTCACTGTGCAGAAGCTTTTTGTCTTGATGAGGTCCCAATAGTTCATTTTTCCTTTTGTTTTCCCTTGCCTCCAGAGACGTATTGAGTAAGAAGTTGCTGTGGCCGAGATCAAAGAGGTTTTCTCCTTTAGGATTCGGATGGCTTCCTGTCTTACATTTAGGTCTTTCATCCATTTTGAATTTATTTTTGTGTACGGTGTAAGCAAGTGGTTCAGGTTCATTCTTCTGCATGTCGCTGTCCAGTTTTCCCAGGCACATTTGCTGAGGAGACGAGTATTTTTCAACTGGATATTCTTTCCTGCTTTGTTAAAGATGAGTTGGCCATGCGTTTGTGGGTCCATTTCTGGGTTTTCTATTCTGTTCCATTGATCTATTTGTCTCTTTTTGTGCCAGTACCATACTGTCTTGATGATTCCAGCTTTGTGATACAGCTTGAAATCTGGGATTGTGATACCTGGAGCTTTGGTTTTCTTTATCAAGATTGCATTGGCTATTCGGGGTCTTTTCTGGTTCCGTACAAATTTTAGGATTGTTTGTTGTAGCTCTGTGAAGACTGCTGTTGTTATTTTGATAGGGATTGCTCAGCATTAGAATCTTATCGGGAGGCAGAGCCTGTCTCCAATCACCAACCAAGAAAATTTCTAAGAAACAGAGCGGAGACAAATGACCTAGACTTGGCCTGCATGGCATCTAGTATTAGTAGAACACCGAAGCAGGGACCGTGTAGAAGTCATTCTGGTCACAGTAGTCAGTCTCTAGGGGCAGCAGTGGTCATGCTGTGATTCCTGCAGCAGTGTGTGGCGCTGGTGACCTCATCAGATTAATCTTGAGGTGTGATTTTAGTTGCGATTTTGAATTTCCTTTTTGTTTTTTAAAGTTTTTTTTTAATGTTTATTTTTGAGAGCAAAAGAAAGACAGAGCATGAGCCAGGGAGTGGGAAGAGCAGAGAGAGAGGGAGATACAGAATCTGAAGCAGGCTCCAAGCTTCCGAGCTGTCAGCACAGAGCCTGCCATGGGGCTTGAACTCACCAACCGTGAGATCATGACCTGAGCTGAAGTTGGACACTTAACCCGCTGAGCCATCCAGGTGCCCCAGCAATTCTGAATTTCTAGCCATTCTTGGTTCCTGTCCTTTTTCTTGAGCCTCATTCTCTGGAGTCTCTAGCTATTTCTTGAGCTACCCAACTGACTTTGAGTAAATTCCTTCCATTCGTAAGGCAGCCAGAGTTAGTCCCATTCAACTAAGAATGCTGTTCTTGTTGGCATCAATCAAACATCCAGCATAGGAGAAATAATGCATTGAATTTTGCTTTAGTACTGGCCACTGATATTAACTGACAAACTAGGGAACTCAGGGGGCGCCTGGGAGGCCGAGTCGGTTAAGTGTCTGACTTCGGTTCAGGTCATGATTTCGCAGTTCATGGGTGGTTCATGGGTTCGAGCCGCAGGTTGGGCTCTGTGCTGACAGCTCAGGGCCTGGATCCTGCTTCAGATTGTGTGTCTCCCTCTCACTCTCTCGCACTCTGCTTCTCAGAATCTCTCTCCCCAAATAAATAAATCAATCATTTTGTAAAAAAGAATTTAAGAAAAAGAAACAAAGGAACTCAGCTAAATGTGTGAGATTTGAATCATGTCCTGTGAAGCACTATTGAAGAAATTGTACATATTTAGCCTGTAGAAATCTCAGGGGACCATAGCCAGTTTCAAATAATCCTAGGAAGAGGGAGCAAAATGATCACTTTGTGCAGCACTAGAGGGCAGCACGAGCCCGTTCTGGGAAAACTGATTTCCCCTCACTGCAGAGACACTCCAATAATTAAACGACAGTAGTGGGGCAAACTGCAATGGGATAAACCGCCTTGAACGGAGGTCCCGACACTGGAACCGTGGAGGCTAAATTACTGACTGCCTCGGTGGGCCGCATTCAATGATCTCTGAGGTTCCTTCTAAGTCTGAGGCTATCGGAGAAACAAATGCATGGTGACTTCTCTGGCCAATTATTGCAGTCGTATGATTCAGAGACCATTATCAGTCCCTCGGGATTTTAAAGTGACAGGCAGCGGGGCGCCTGGGTGGCTTAGTCGGTTAAGCGTCTGACTTTCGCTCAGGTCATGATCTTGCATTTCGTGGGTTCGAGCCCCGCGTCGGGCTCTGTGCTGACAGCCAGCTCAGAGCTTGGAGCCTGTTTCAGAGTCTGTGACTCCCTCCCTCTCTGACCCTCCCCTGCTCACGCTGTCTCTCTCTTTCTCTCCTAGAAATAAATACAACATTAAAAAAAATTTTTTAGATATAAAAATAAAATAACAGGCAGAAATGATAGCAAAAGAAAAAAATAGGTAACCATTCCCACCTAGAGGAGTGAGAGCAACATAGATCTTATGTACCTAGAATGGAGATTAAGCACTATGGTACCTACAAAATTAGGTACTAATTTACATACACTTAACTATTGTTTCTTAGGCAAATTTCTCTGGCAAAGTATCATAACAAATTATCTTAATTAATTAATTAATTAATTAATTATTTTGTCGGGGTAGGGGGCGGGACAGAGAGAGAGGGAGACAGAGAATCCCAAGCCGGCTCCGTGATGTCAGGGCAAAACCCGAAGTGGGGTTGAACTCACAAATCATGAGATCATGACCTGAGTGGAGATCAAGATTCTGATGCTAAATTGGGGTGCCCGGGTGGCTCAGTCAGTTAAGCGTCTGACTTCTGCTCAGGTTGTGATCTCATGGTTTGTGGGTTCAAGCCCTGCATCGGGCTTTGTGCTGATAGCTCGGAGCCTGGAGCCTGCTTTGGATTCTGTGTCTCCCTCTCTCTCTGACCCTTCCCCACTCACACTCTATCTCTCTCTCTCTCAAAATAAGTAAATAAAATTTTTAAAAAGATTATATTCTTGGAAGAGGCTGAAACTTCAATTAGATTAGGTAGCAAGTCTCCGTTTGGTGAAGTGGGAGACAGCATAAGTGACCCCATTTGGGACCGGTTGTCTCTTTTTTAACAATCCCCAGCCCCTTTGATCAAACTGTTAGCTAAGCCGAGACATGTGACCAAACTGTAAGGCTTTAGTGCCACTTCCAGCCACCTCTCAAGTTCTCCCTGTTTTTGTTGATTCTTTGTGTGGTACTCACAGGTCAGCACGATTTTGCTGACTCTGTGGTACTCACAGGTCACGACTTCAGGCTCACAATTTTTTAGTTGGTCATTTTCTTCGTTCTTTTTCTGGCGCTCCAGTTTTTGGGAGGTCATTTTTTCTTGGTGGTTAGCGGCCGCAAACACGCATTTAGGTGTTTGAGAGAATACACCGCACCAAGGAGATGGCTACGATTATTACAAGCGAGATAATTACCGATGTCTGGAGTGCACGTCAAAGCCATGGGCTCCGAGACCCAAACCAATGAAAATCAACTGAGCCAGAGAAAGACCCCATTGAAGGAGTCACCTTCTTAAGCCGAGTGGCTTGCTCAGTGAGCTTATGCAACTGAGTTCCAGCTTGCCCAGAAGTGCTAATCCAGGTGCAAGAGGGGGGATTGGACACAGCACAGACACCTCCTTGTGCCGCTAAAAACATAATCAAGGGCTAGCCCCACCCACAAGAACACTTTTGGCCAGAAGGATGAAGGATTTTTGTCAGACAGCTATTGCGTTAGCAACAGAGTTTGTAATATTTTCAAGATTTAACGAGAGGTTCCTGATCACATTCTTATTTACGTTTATTCCTAAACAGGGAAGTTGGGACCCGCCAAAGGGAGCTAATTTTCAGTCAGCCTCTGGTACAGCCGTGGGGGCAAGTAAGTAAAATCTAAGGGTCTATAAACCACACAAGTGGTTTTAGTCTCTCTTTCTTTGTTTAATGTTTATTTTTGAGAGAGAGAGAGAATGGGTTGGGGAGTGGCAGAGGGAGAAGGGGACAGAGGATCGAAAGCGGGCTCTGTGCTGACAGCAGAGAGCCTGATTCAGGGCCCAAACTCATGAACCCCGAGATCATGACCTGAGCAGAGATCAAGAATCGGACACTTAAGCGCTTCGCTGACTGAGCCACCCAGGCACCCTCAGGTGGGTTTTTTCTGATTACCTTTGCTTTGTTTTCCTTTCTCGGTATAAAGCCTGGACTCAAGGTTCTCTGCGTTTGGAGTTGTTAACCAGAGATGAGGAAATCGATCCCTAGGTGAAAAAGTGTGACGCGAGAGTGAGGGGGCTGAGTCTGTTCTAGAGAAACTGAAGCAGGAGCATTGTGCAAGCCCAACAGTTGTTAGAAAGTTGGAGTACCCTCCTTAGCAACTGCCTGGCTGCTACAGATGATGGCATTCTCTTTTCGGGCCGATGACACTCTAAAGGGAAGAAAGAGACGAAAGGAACAGTGTCCTGTTCAGTTAAGGTGTGAAGTCTTGATCTAGGGTCTTGGCCTTTATGTCAACTACTTCTTTTACTAACCAGTTTGATTTTCAAGTCTCCAGCTGTGTGAACTGTCCAGGTAGAGACTCCTTTAGCTGAAATTCGTGAAATACATTATCCGAGGTTCAAGTCCCTGAACTTCAGCTGCCATCTCTAGGTTAGGGAGGAAGACCTGATCTAGTCCTTTTCCAAGGAGATTCAAGGGCAGCCTTTGTTCTGAGTGATTCCAAACTTGAAGGATGGGAGACACTTGGAAATGTTCGTTCGAAAAGTTAGAGCCAGATATTTGAGGAAACCCGAAGAATTCAGGACCCGGTTCGGCTACAGGGATACAACCAAATCTTAAGGCATTTAAGAGGATTAGAATCTAATATCAAAAAAGGTGCTAACATCATTCTTCTTATTATAATTATCCCCCCTCTTTTTCACCAAAGACAATTTGTTTGCCCTAAGTACGCTATGATTACTTACGAAAGTGCAGCAAGAATAGCGATTGACCATGTAAGCTCCTTGGAAGGCTGCTTTGCTGAAACCTCATGAAAAATGGACCAGGCTGATTTTTCCAAAGGCTGTATTGGCTTCATAAAGTCAACCTTAGTTTTTTTAAACCCCTCTGGCCATTTTTGAGTCTGCACACATCTCTGTCGAATATCACATTTCAAAAATACTGTGACATTTCAGGCAACACCTTGGTAAAATAACCAGTGTTTCTAATCGTGCCCCATTACAAGGGAAACAGAATCTTATCAAACTTATGTAAATAACTATTTTGCCAAGAAAAGACCCAAGAATCTCTGGATTGTGGAGGAATCAGGTGGGAGAAAAAGTGCAGGTGCCATCCTTGTTTACAAAAGTCTACTTGGCCAAATTATTGTAAGTCCTAAATAAAAGAAAAAATGTCCTCAAATTTGGAAAAATAAAACACTAAGGAGCCAGCAATGTTTCAAACAAGGAGTCATAATAATTGTAATCATTCTTTTCAATTAGGATCCGATTATATCATTAATTCTGGAAATTCTTATCCAGTCCATTTTCATGATCTTAGATCTATTAGAAATCTGTGTTTACCAGAGTTCATTCTATGAATATCCTTGAAGATGACACTTTGGCAGGAATACTTTTGTAAAAGACTTTGAGTAAAATCACTGTTTTTATAATGTTTATTTTTTGAGACAGAGAGAGAGCGAGAGAGCACGGGGTAGGGAAAAAGAGAGGAGACACAGAATCCGAAGCAGGCTCCAGGCTCAGAGCCTGATGCAGGGCTCGAACTCACGAACCGTGGGATCATGACCTGAGCTGAAGTTGGACACTTAATGGACGGAGCCACCAAGGCACCCCTGAGTAAAATAACTGTTAATGACAAAAGACTTTTTAAAATCCCCATTGTTAAAGATCTGATTACAGTTCATTATAATAGAATTGACAGAAAATTTGATTACTCCTATGACACAAATTTTATTTTATCTTATATTTTATTTTATTTTTAAAGTTTATTTATTTATTTTTAGGAAGAGAGAGAGCACGATCAGGGGAGGGGCAGAGAGAGAGGTGGGGAGAGAGAGAATCCCAAGCAGGCCCTGCACTTTGGGCACACAGCCCAGTTCAGGGCTTGAACTCGCAAACTGTGAGATCATGATCTGAGCCAAACCAGGAGTCAGACGCTTAAATGACTGAGCCATCCAGGCATCCCTAAGACACACCAATTTTAAAATGATAATGAGAATTGTGATGATAGTATTATACATATGTAGGCATACATATATATTATACATATATAATATAATATACTATTATAAAGGATATATCAGACTTTAGGAATTTTATACAATTTCTGGAATACTTATAACATATACCTATACAAATACAGCATAAAGAAAACACGTGTTGTAATTTCAGTATAGTTAATATACACTGTTATGTTAGTTTCTGGTGTACAATATAGTGATTCAACAATTCTGTACATTACTCAGTGCTCATCGTGATAAGTGTGCTCTTAATCCCCTTCACCTATTTCCCCCATCCCCCCACCTGCCTCCCCTCTGGTTACCATCTGTAACAACTCTGTAGTTAAGAGTCTGGTTTTTTTTGGTTCATCTCTTTTCTATTCTTTATTTTTTGTTTCTTAAATTCCATATATGAGTGAAATCATATGGTATTTGGCTTTTTGTTTCTGACTTATTTTATTTAACATAACGCCCTCTAGCTCCATCCATGTTGTTACAAGTGACAAGCTCTCATTCTTTTTTATGGCTGAGTAATATTCCACTGCAGATAGATGGATAGATAGACAGACATAGACATAGATAGAGATAGAGATATAAATATATAGATATAGATATGGATATAGATATACTACTTCTTTATCCATTCATCTGTCAGTGGACACTTTGGTTGCTTCTATATCTTGGCTATATAAATATTGCTGCAAGAAACATAAGAGTGTATATACCTTTTCAAATTAGTGTTTTCTCTTTTTTTGGGTAAATACCCAGAAGTGGAATTACTCTTTTTAATTTTTTAAGTACTGTTTTCCACAGGGGTTGCACTAATTTACATTCCTTCCAATAGTACATGAGGGGTTCCCTTTTCTCTACATCCTTGCCAAAATTTGTTTCTTGTGTTTTTGATTTTAGCCATTCTGACTGGTTTGAGGTGATATCCCGTGGTGATTTTGACTTGCATTTTCCTGATAATTACTGAGGTTGGCCATCTGTATGTCTTCTTCAGAAAAATACCTTCTTTGGAGAAAAATCAGGTCCTCTGCCCATTTTTAAACCAGATTATTTGTTTTCTTGGTGTTCAGTTGTATGAGTTATTTATATATTTTGGATATTAAGTGCTTATTGGATATATCATTTGCAAATATCTTCTCCCATTCAGTAGGTTGTCTTTTTGTTTTGCTGATGGTTTCTGTTGCTATGTAAAGCTTTTTATTTTGTACATATATTTTTTTCTTTCTTTATTCTTTAGTAATCTCTGTACCCAATGTGGGAATCAAACTCAGGACCCCGAGATCAGGAGTTAGCTGCTTTACCCACCGAGCCAGCCAGATGCCCCTGTATGAATTTCTTTTTCACATTCAGATTTTGTCCTGTTTTTACTCTTTCCCATTCTGAAATCGCCAACTTCACTTTAGGACAAAATTAATTTATTTTCCTTCAACAAAATGCATCTCATACCTTTCTTACTGAAAATACAGATTCTACTTTCCTTGTATACAGAGATGCTCTCCCTATAATTTCTAGTAGCTTTCATTTACATATATTTTATCTAAATGTGTTTTACATACATGTAAATTCAATTAAATACTTTAGATTACATATACTAGAATTTTTAATCCTTAAAAGCCTTATTTTCTACTGAACATTAAGATGTGAACAACTGTGGACTCTCTCTTACACTAGCATTCTGTGGCTTGGCCAATAAACACTTTTTGTAATTTTTAGAAACATATGCTTTCTCATAGTAAATTTTTCAGTATGGCACATAACATGTTTACTAATGGGCCCAAGTATCATTAGTTCCTCTGTAAAGGAAGCCTAAAGCAGATAAATCTATTTTTAGTAATATTTCAGTGTTTTATTTCATTTGGAGACGACCTAGATATTTAATGTTCGTTTTAACTCATCATTTAACCTAACTTGCTCAAACTTTAACTTTTTGAGTAACCAAAAGATTTTGGGAACTATTTGCTGGAAAGATCACCTAGAAACACTTATCCCATTTACATCTTATTAAAAGCATTTTTTCTTGATAATTATGTTTAGATTAATTATGAAAGTGTTATTACACATTAGACAAAGTCATTCATTATTTCACGCTGTTTTTCTGGCTGACAAATTTGTACTTATTCGGTTAGTAAAGCCAGGTGGAGTAAAAGTTTAGTATGTCTATATGACATTCATTCAATGTTGATAACGCTACGGACATGTCTATTTTATTTAAAACAACAGCTTAAACTAGCTTTTATTCACTGAAGATTGTCTTAGGTCATGAGAACTTGAAAAGAAACTCAAAACCGTTGGGTTAGTTTTCCTATTGTTAAGAGTTCTAGGAATCCTTCCACAGAGGCTTTAGAAAGCTTTTCTTTTCCTCCAGGTACATAGTTTTATTTTAGTTTAGGGGAGAGGGCCTAATAAAAACAAATTTCTATCAGGTTCTGAGTATCCGCTTCCAATTTAGCCGACTGCTTAGAATCTCTTTAAAGATCTCATCAGTTTTCAGCTGGGACGAACAGTAAATATCCATGGGAATATTTAACAACCCCTGGACTCAGACATTAGAAAGAGGATGCAAAAGATATTTTGGTTTCCTTCCTCTACTGGGTACTACTGATCAAGATCTGGAAGCCAAGTCTGGTAAGAATTCTCACCCTTAGCCAGCTTTAATGAACTTCCGCAGGGCCCCATCTATAGGCCACGTGGGGTTTAGAGTCCAGCTCAAGTATCTACTAACATTCACCAAGGTTTTCCATGAATGTTTAGTTTCCCCTTTGTAGTTTAAGGGAATAGTGTAGCATTTTGCCAGAAAATTCCTCAGAGTCTCATCAACTCTAGAAGGGGCCCATATGAAACGGCCTCCCTTCTTGGAGGGTGCATATGGGATTGTTTACAAGGCCACTAATTTGGTGGATTTTGTTTTTCTAGTCTTGTCCCAAAGTCTTTTCACAAAGAACAAAGTAAGTGCTCACTTAGCACTGATAGTGCTTAGTCACACCAGTGGCCTCTCATCCTAGCCTCTGCCTTTTTATCAACCTATTAGTCTTGGAAGATGATGCGTTTAGAAAAATTTTTGATGGTTCTCTGCGGGTTTAGGAAATTTTTAAACGATCGCCCGTAGTTTGGCCTTTGACCAAAGACTGAAAGCTAGCTAAAGAGGATCACCTGTAGCTTTGGGTGGTCTTATTTAAAAACTTTTTGTTTTTAATGTTTATTTATTTTTGAGAGAGACAGAGTTTGAGCAGGGGAGGGGCAGAGAGAGAGGGGGACAGAATCCTAAGTAGACTCTAGGTTCTGAGCTGTCAGCACAGAGCCTGACGCGGGGCTCGAACTCATGAACTACAGATCATGCCTTGAGCCGAAGTCGGACGCTTAATGAGCTGAGCCACCCAGGCGCCCCAGATAGTCTTATTTTAAAAGTTAACATTGTTTAATAGACTTTGCAGAGTGAAAAGAAAAAAACTATTTAGACAGAGGATTATTAGAATTAGTACTCAAATAAAGGAAGATAGAGGGAAGCAGTGGGATTTATATCAGTCTTGTTTCAGGTACCTCTTATATTTAATGTTTTCATTCGCCTTTCACAGCCAGCCTTTCATTGGAGCTATTTTGGAATTTTGAAGCACTTTGGAGGCTTCTGCCTGCCAATTAAAATAGGTTTCCCATTCTGTTTGTTTGATTTGGAAACCCTTCCATTTAAGTGCACTTTGAAAAGTGAACTTAGCTAAGGGGCACCTGGTTGGCTCAGTCTGTTGAGCCTCCCACTTCAGCTCAGGTCCTGATCTCACGCTTTGTGCATTCGAGCCCCACATCGGGCTTGCTGCTGTCCGCCTGTCAGCACAGAGCCCGCTTCGGATCCTCTGTCCCCCTCTCTTTGCCCCTTCTCTGCTTGTACTCTCCCAAAACTAAATAAATATTTTCTAAAAAAAAAAAATGGACGTACCTAATTTGAATGTTCTTCAAAATAGTCACTGTAGGGGCACCTGGGTGGCTCAGTCAGTTAAGTGTCTGACTTCGGCTCAGGTCCTGATCTCACAGTTTGTGAGTTCGAGCCCCGTGTCTGGCTCTGTGCCGACAGCTCAGAACCTGGAGCCTGCTTCATTCGGATTCTGTGTCTCCCTCTCTCTCTGCCCCTCCCCCACTCACACTCTGTATCTCTCTCTCTCTCTCTCAAAAATAAATAAACATTAAACGGCTGGAAGCAGTTAGGTAGGAACCTAGCCACAAGGAGAATTTAGCCCACATGTTGGTCCAGTCATATCTAGCCACAAATAGCGTACAGCCCACATTTCTGTCTAGCCATAGTTTAGAGCCCTCAGCCTCGCAGTTACGAAGCCCAGTTCTCAGGACACAAAAACTTAGCAAGATTTTGCCATAGTTATCTATAGCTTCTGGAACCTAGTTCTTAGACATACTTTATGTCTAAGGATTCTGCTGATTGCCTTCAGGAGGTATGCTGGAAGGTGGTGTCCTTAACTGTTTTAATTTTAACGATCTCAGTTTTTGGTAAGTATTTGGGTCTCTTGGAGCCAACCTAATACCCTAAGAGGGTTGCACCCCTGGGTTGGGAATTATGTGGAATTTTACAATGTACCTTGTTGCACGGAAATTCTCTTAAAGTTGGCGGGTGACCTCGTGTCCATCTAACCGGCTTTGTAACCGACTTATGTAACATGGGAACCTTTGAGTGAAGTGGCAGGCATTCTGTCATCTTCTAAGTGCGTGACCCACGGTCTCCAATTTTGTAGCTTTTGTTTGTTTGTTTGTTTGTTTTTTGGCCTCCAAGATAACCATTAGCAATAGCCCTTACTTAAAACAAGGCCTCTCAGTGTACCCTGCCCAGTTTAAATTGAACTCAGTCTGGTTCCAAACCCAGTCTGGTTTTTAAGTTGAACCCAGTCTGATCCTGGACTAAATCCAGATTTTTTTCTTAATATATATTTTTAAATTTTTTAATGTTTATTTTTGAGAGAGAGAGAGACAGACAGAGCGCGAGCAGGGAAGGACAGGGAGGGAGACACAAAATCTGAAGCAGGTTCAAGGCTCCAAGTGATCGGCACAGAGCCCGACACAGGGCTTGAGCTCACGAATGGCGAGATCACGACCTGGGCCAAAGTCGGATGCTCAACCGACTGAGCCACCCAGGCGCCCCAAATATCCCGATTTTAAGTTGGGCCTGGTTCAACTCAAGACCCAATCTGGTAACCACAATCAGTTCCCAGCCTGAAGTTTGGGAGGTTAGGGAGAGAATTCAGAGAGGGATTCCAAACAAATGGAGGAACTGTGGAAAGTCACTTAGATGAGGAGCTCCCTGCAAGAGAACAGAACGAAGGAGAACTTACCCGAGGCCCTCAGAAATAGCAAGAAAAAAACTCGAAAGGATTTTCAGGTATCATACCTTTGACTTTCATTGTCTCTGAAGTTGTTGGAAGTCTCCTTCGGCACTGGCTGCCACCAAATCTGTTAAACAACAAAACTCAACTAAGTAAATTTAAAGATAAAGTTGGTTTATTCAACAATTCATGAATAAGGCAATATCCCATCTAGCAAATAGAAAGGAGCTCTGAAGAGCTGTAGAAAAAGAAAGGTTTTTATCTATTATTTTTTTTTAAAAGAAAGGTTTTTAAAGGCAGAATGGGGGAAATAAATGGCAGCTTATTAGCAAAGAGTGCATTGTTTCAGGTAAGGTTGTCTTCCAAAGAGGGATGGAAAGTTTTTGTCAGGCAGATTTATTCATCAGTGCTGACCAGGTCATTCCAGGTTGATTGGTTAGAGGTTACACTCCCAGGAGAGGCTGAAACTGCAATGAGATTAGGCAGTAAGTCTTAGTTCGCTGCCATGAGGTGCAGCATCAGTGACTCCATTTTGGATTGCTTATCTTGTAGCCAGGGCATAGGGGTGCAAGAGCATGTGGTTTGCGGGACCCAACACAGACTGACTTTGGACACTCGCCACTGACAAAACCCGGAGGCAGACAGATGAGTGGTGGTGAAACCAGAAAGGAATTTATTTCAATGAGGCCAACACCGGGAAGATGGTGGACTAACCGCTCAAAGACTGTCTCCTAAGTGCTGAAAATACTTCTAGATTTATATAAAGGAAATGGGGGACAAAGGTTGGTGGGTACAGGCAGGTGGGCAGTAAAGGTCAGGTCAATCATTGTCTGAGGGACAGTCATGAATGGGGTCTCCCTGGCTCGGGGCAGTCCTCAGTGCTGGAGGGGGTAGTTTGGGTTCCCATCAGGGGATGCTATGCCCACAGGGTCTTATGTCTGTGTTAGAGATAAACTGGAAAGAAGAACTTAATCAATTAGAAAGTTTGAGGACCCAATGGAAGTAATCCTCTGTCGATCCCTTTTTTTACCACCAGGTTATGTCTTTTTGAACATAGTGTAATTTATTGTTCGGTAGGTAATTAGTTGATCCTTGAGTAACTAAATATATGTTCCAGCAATATTTAAGGCAAGCGTAAGTTTCTTCCTTAAAAAAAAAAAACAAAACCAAAACAAAGCTTAAAAATTCATTTGAGGCACCCGGCTGGCTCAGTTGGTAGAGCATGTGACTCTTGATCTTGAGGTCGTGAGTTTGAGCCCCACAATGGGTGTAGAGACTAATCAAAAAATAAAATCTTAAAAATACTGTTTATTTAAATGATCAGTTTCATTCACATATTTGTAGACACAAAAAAAGGAAAGAAAAAGGAAAGAAAAGAGAAGAAAAATAACCAAATTTTCAAATATTCCCCTAAACATTTTGTATATTTCCTTCTAGCTATACTTTCTTTTTTTAATGTTTATTTATTTTGAGAGAGCGAGCGAGCGCTCATGTGTGCACATGTGCCAGTGAGGAAGGGGCAGAGAGAGGTAGAGAGAGAATCTCAAGCAGGCTCCTCCGACTCAGGGTTTGATCTCAGGACCATGAGCCAGAAGTTTAAGACTTGAAGTTTTAACTGACTGAGCCACCCAGGCGCCCCCTGGCTATACTTTCTGTATAAAAATTTTTATGTGGTTAGAAGTTACATGGTTAAAAAATATATGTGTGTGTGTGTATACATGAATATATGTGTTATAGGGGCCAAGTTCAGGCTGCCCCAAGATGGGCTACTTCAAAATGACGATTATTTTGAGTTAAAAGCAATCAAAACCCAGCAGATTCAGGAAAAGCTCTTAACCACCCCTTCAACTCCCTGAATTTACATTGAAAGGTAGAGCCTGTACCAGATGGAGCTACTAAAAGAGATTCCTCCTTACCTAAGAAACTTATTTGCATAAAAGGACACCCTTTGTTTTCCAAACCTCTCCACTCACCTTCCTGTCTTCTTCCCCTGCTTATCCCCGGACCCCTAGGCCTCACCTTAGCTCAGGGTGTCCCGTAAGTCCCATGTTGCCTGACTTGTCACTGGCAATTCATGTTTGTATGGATTTCCTGCACATACAAAACTAAATTTGATTTTCTCCTGTTGATCTGTCTAATGTCAGCTTAATTCTTAGTCCGGTTACAAGGACCTCGAAGGGCAGAGAAAATTTTTTTTCACTGACAATAGTTATATATATATATATATATATATATATCTCATATATAGTTACATATATAATTATTAGGTATGTAAGATTATTATGCATAATTATATAGATAATTATGTTATATACTCATGCTTGTTATATATTTGTATATAAAAATATTGTATTATATATTTATTATATTTTATCATGTACATATGTTTCAAGTGTAAGGTTTGTGATGAGACTTCCTTTTTTAACTTCATATTGTTTATTTATTTATTGTGAGATGGAGAGAGAGAGCATGAACAGGGGAGGGGCAGAGAGAGAGGGAGAGAGGGAATCCTAAGCAGGCTCTGTGCTGTCAGAGCCTGACACAGGGCTCCATCCCACAAACCATGAGATCAAGACCTGAGCTGAAACCATGAGTCAGATGCTTAATGGACTGAGCCACCCAGGTGCCCCTTTTTAAATTAGTATTATTTATTCATTTAAAAAATTTTTTTAAAATGTTTTTTATTTATTTCTAGGAGAGAGAGAGAGACAGCGTGAGCAGGGTCAGAGGAGGAGGGTCAGAGAGAGAGGGAGTCACAGACTCTGAAACAGGCTCTAGGCTCTGAGCTGGCAGTCAGCACAGAGCCCGACGCGGGGCTCAAACCCACGAACCGCAAGATCATGACTTAAGCAAAAGTCGGACGCTTAACCGACTAAGCCACCCAGGCGCCCCTATTTATTCATTTTTATAAAGTAAGCTCTACACTCAAGGTGGGGCTTGAACTCACAACCCCGAGCTCAAGAGTCACACACTCTACCCACTGAGTCAGCCAGGCGGCCCTCTGCAGAGATTTTCATTAAAGGTTAATATTTCTTTTTATTTTTTATTTCTTTTTTTAACTTATTTTTATTTTATTATTATTTTTTTAGAAGGGGAAGAGAGGGGCAAAGGGGGAGAGAGAGGGAGAGGGAAAGGGAGAGGGAGAGGGAGAGAGAGAGAGAGAGAGAGAGAATATCCCAAGTGGGCTCCACACTCAAGCACCACTCTTGAGGCAGGGCTTGATCCCACAACACCGGAATCATGACCCAAGTCAAAATTAAGAGTGGGACAGTCAACCAAATGAGCCACCCATGGCTCCTAAAGGTTAATATTTCTAACATGATTACTAATTATACTGTTAGATCATTTTAAAAACACTTTCTCTTAAGTACTCTTTTTACTGTGTAGCCAAATACATCCCCAAATATTTAGCAGTTTGAGGAGAGGGTCACTTAACTTTTAAAGAAAATAGAATTTTTACAATAAACTCTAACATTTTATCAGAGCTTGTGTTCTTAGTTTTCAAAATTGCACAGAGAATATTTTCCTAGAGAGTAAATAATCTGTTATTTCCCATCACGTTGCAATTCTAGATTAGGAGCCTGGTTAATGGGAGATAGCAAATAAAATAGACATAAATGAGGAAAACATTTAATACCCTAGAGGTATTTTTTTTTTTCTGTGCCAGTTTCTTACTTTTTCTGACATTCCACTGAGGGCATGAGGGCATTAGTGGTAGGGGAATTTAAACTCCAAAATACAAGGTAAATGAAATAATTTCTTTTTTTTTTAATGTTTTATTTATTTCTGAGCGAGAGAGACAGTGTGAGCAGGGGAGGGTCAGAGAGGGAGATACAGAATCCGACACAGGCTCCAGGCTCCGAGTTAGCTGTCAGCACAGAGCCCGATGTGAGGCTCGAACCCACGAACCGTGAGATCATGACCTGAGCCGAAGTCAGACGCTCAACCAACTGAGCCACCTGGCGCCCCGAGAAATGAAATAATTTCTATAAGACTGTTATAAATATATACAAGTAGAAGTTACAAAGGAAGAGACCTCAACCTTTGCAGCTGTGCTCATTTTTTCACACAATTGAATCTAATATAACATATACTGAGATTTGCAAAGAAAATTGGTGGGGGGATTTTATCCAAATTCCACTTGACATTTTCAAATGTTAGTTGAACTTTTTGGACTTGCCTTTGACAATGTTGTGTATCACTATCTTGGACTCAAAATATTAAGCATGGCGGGAATGCCTTTGAGGCTACATACAAGACAAGGGATTCTTCATTCATTCATTTAACATTTGCTGACTACTATTATTGCCCCTGTACTTGATTAGATTCTATCGTGCAAAGAGAGCTGAGTCATAGTAGGAAGAGAGACAGGTATGGTATCATAAAAATGACGGTGAATTGTGAAAAACGATACCATAGGCTAATGAGCAATGCGCTGTGCAATCACAGAGGGTGGGATAACAATTTTCTCTTTTGGTATAAAGGTGTAAAGAAACGATTAGAAACACATATGCATTGGGTGCCTGGGTAGCTCAGTCAGTTAAGCATCCGACTGTTGATTTCGGCTCAGGTCATGATCTCGAAGTTTGTGAGTTCAGGCCTCACATCGGGTTCTGTGCTGACAGCATGGAGTCTGCTTGAGATTATCTCTCTCCCTCCCTGAGCCCCTCTCCTGCTCGTGTTCTGTCTCTCTATGTCTCAAAATAAATAAATAAACAGGAAAAAAAGAGAAAGAAACACATATGCATTTAACAACAGAGCCCCCAAATAGTTGAAACAAAAACTGACAAAACTCAAGTGAGAAATAGACAATTCAACAATAATAGTGGGAAGTTTCAATACCACACTTTCAACAATCGGTATAATGTGTACTTTAAATGAATGAATTGTATGGTATGTGAATTATATCTCAACACATCTATGTTTCTTAATGATGTGGAAGGGCTAGGGTGCCTAGGTGGCTCCATTGGTTAAATGTCCAACTGCCCAACTTTTGTGTTCTGTTCAAGTCACTATCTCATGGTTCATGGAGTCTAGCCCTGTGTTAGGCTCTGTGCTGACAGCACGGAGCTTGCTTGGGATTCTCTCACTCTCTGTCTCTCTGCTCCTTTCTCTCTCTCTCTCGTGCATGTGCACGCACATACATGTGTGCCTTCATGTGCTCATTCTCTCTCTCAAAATATATAAATTAAAAAATAATAAAGATGTAGAAGGCCTTTGGTAGGAAAGACTTCATAGGGCAAATGGGCATCTAAAATAACTCAGCATTTCTGATTTTCTAAAAGAATATTATCACCCACTTTAAAACATTTTGGAGGGGGGCTCCTGGGTGGCTCAGTTGGTTAAGCACCTGACTTCGGTCGGGTCATGATCTCACCGATCTAGGGTTCGAGTCCCACATGGAGCTCTGACAGAGACAGAAAGAGTGAGCAGAGGAGGGACAGAGAGAGAGAGGGAGAAAGAAAATCCCAAGCAGGCTCCGTGCTGTCAGCCCAGAGCCCAACTAGGGGCTCCAACCCACAAACCGTGAGATCATGACCTAAGCCAAAACCAAGAGTTGGACCTTTAATGAACTGAGCCACCCACATGCTCCTCACACATATTCTTTAAATGACAAAGGTAGGGGCGCCTGGATGGCTCAGTCGGTGAAGCATCCAACTTTGGCTCAGGTCATGATCTCGCCATTCCCCAAATTTCTCAAAAGTAAATAAACTCTAAAAAAATAAATATATAAGAAATCAAGATATTATTGAAGAAAATAAAATTATGTTGGTGAAGAAAAAGTTTTCCTTGACCCTTTTGGTGTCCTTGGCTGCATCTGAAAGTTAGACTGCAAAGAAGATAAACAGGAGAAAAAAACCATACACATTTATTTCATGTAAGTCTCACGTTACACAGGGGCCTTCATAAGGAAATGAAGACCCAAAGAAGCAGTTAGACCTGAGCCACCCAGGCACCACTTTTGGCCTTTTGATACTAACTCTTCCGACAGATGTGATGTGACAGCTCACTGTGGTTTTGATTTTCGTCTCCCTGATGATGAGTCATATTGAGCATCTTTTCATATGTCTGTTGACCATTTATGTGACTTGGGGAAAAATGCATATAAAAAAGAATGGAATCTTGCCATTTGTGACAATGTGGGCATGGGCCAAAAGGGTGTTGCACTAAGTAAGATAAGTATGACAGAGAAAGACAACTATAATATGATTTCACTTATATGTGGAAGCTAAAAAACAAAACAAATGAACAAAGAACCACAAAGGGAAACAAACTCATAAATATAGAGAACAAACTAGTGGTTGCCAGAGGGGAAGGGAGGGTATAGCGATGGGTGAAATAGGTAAAGGGGATTAAGAGGTACAAACTTCCAGTTAGAAAACAAGTAAGTCGCAGGAAAGAAAAGTACAGCATAAGGAATATAGTCAATAATATTTTAATAACTGTGTGGTGTAGATGGTAAACGTACTTATCGTGATGAGCATATGCTAATGTACATAGTTGGCAAATCACTATGTTGTACACTTGAAACGAAATAATATATATGTCAGGTACACTTCAATTAAAAATTTAAAAAAATGTTAAAGTCTAATATTTACTTATTTAATTATAAAATCTCTAATTTTTAGAAAATGACACTCCCCAGGGAGATATTTCTAAGTTGGTTTTCTTTATTTAAAAAACTCATTGAAATCGTGAGGACAATTTAATTAAGTTACTATTATTTCAATCAGCTGTATTCGTTTTATTATCTTCGATCTTATGGCAGAAAAAATGAGTTATTCAATTTATTCCTTTCGGCATTACCGATTTTCATAATGGCAAAGGAGCACTTAGTTTTATTTTATTTATTTATTTATTATTTTTTTTAAAAGACTGCACTTTTTTTTTAATGTTTTTTTTTTTTTTTTTTTATTTATAAGAGAGAGAGAGAGACAGCGTAAGCAGGGGAGGGTCAGAGAGAGAGGGAGTCACAGACTGAAACAGGCTCCAGGCTCTGAGCTGGCAGTCAGCACAGAGCCCGATGCGGGGCTTGAACCCACGAACTGCGAGATCATGACCTAAGCGAAAGTCGGACGCTTAACCGACTAAGCCACCCAGGCGCCCATTGTTTTATTTTACTTAAAAATGTTTATGTATTTATTTTGAGAGAGAGTGTGTTTGTGGGAGCGCACAAGCAAGGGAGGGGCAGAGAAAGAGGGGGAAAGAGAATCCCAAGCAGGCTGTTTGCTGTCAGCACAGAGCCTGATGCAGGGCTCCAACTCGCGACCCATGAGATCATGACCTGAGCCGGTATCAAGCGTCGGATGCCTAACTGACTGAGCCATCCAGGGGCCCCTCGGATGAATATTTTTAAAAAAGAGAACTTTGTCATCATATGTAGAGGTGGGCATAAGGTCATGCGTGCACTTTAAGGAAAAATGCCTATATACACACTGTGTGTTATGCAAATGAAGCTTGTGCCCCCTCCTCGGGTGGAGAATTTAGTATTGTAATGATGTAAAGGTAATTGTCATTCGTTCTAGAGGTCACTCCATGGTGCATCTGTGCAGGAGCAAGTCACGGGGGTGGAGGAAGGGGGGGATAGTGGAGAGGGGATAGTGGAGGGGGGTGTTTGTTCGTACTGGTCCAGGGCTGCTGGAGTTCTTGTCAAGGCAGTTGCTCTCCCTTGAGGTGGGGTTTCGGTGTTCATATGCCCGAGTTAAGAGATAACCTGTAAAAGCAGAACTTAAGGAACAAATGTGGGACAAAGGTGGGTGAGTACAAGTGGGGGGGCAGTAAAGGTCCAGTCTTGGGGTCTAGCTGGTGACACTAGGAACATGGACAAGCAATTCTGCCTCAAATGTTGCTACTGATAACTGGTGTGGGAAACTAAGGCAGAGGGAAGTGGTGGAGAATATTAAATTTCTCTGTAGCCTGCAGCCCATTGACAAATACGTGAAGCGGGCAGAGTAGAACACTCCTCCAGGAACCCCCTACTGTCTTGATGCTCTGCTAGAGGGAAACACAACCTTAGTTTGACAATAGCTAAGCCTCCAGTATCCTGGGAGTCTTCTTTAGCAGATGAAAATCTCACTGGAAACTTCCCCTGGCCTTTCTAGCTCTTATTAGGGCTGGCCTTTCCTCCTTTATGGCACACGGTGATCGTAGTAATTTTGTTCCAGGGACACCTTGGGCTGGTTTTCATGAGGTTCTTGAGCAAAAGACTAAAGAAAGCATTCTTGAGATGTCTTTGGTACAAAAAGGTGATTTTATTAAAGCACGGAGACAGGACCCTTGGGCAGAAAGAGCTGCGCTGGGGTTGTGAGGAGTGACTGATTATATACCTTCAAGTTAATGGGGTTAGAGATTCAGTGGCTGTTAGGATTTTCAAACTCTAAGGAATTTCTAAGCAAGGCTTTCAGGACCTTGAGGGGCTAGCTACTGTTAAGATAAGGTTACTTTTAGTCTTTAATAAAACAAAAACATTAATGCAGTAAGGCAGCCATGAGTTGCTTGAGGAAGGTCACACTGTGCATGTTCATGTATCTTTCAGTGCAAGCTGTATGGAGATTTAATTTCAGCCACATTTCTCTTGCCTTTGTTCCCCTCATCCTTTCCCCCCGAACAGCTTTGACCCTTGAATCTTTAAGGAGTTTGAAAGTGGAAGGTCTCATCTTCCGTAGCTTCTTCCTGAAGAAAAGGGGCATAGAGTTGTTCCTACGCATGGGCCAAGGTTGGTCAGTCCAGAATTTAATAGTAGCTAGGGAAGGCTAAGGCAGCTGTATCTAGAGTTGATAACATATAACAAAGGATCATGTGTGGACTTGAACCTACAGCAGTGAAGGAGTGTTGGCACCAGGTGGAGAAATGTGGGAGAAAACAGCCAAACATGATTAAAATAACAAAAAGTAAAAGAAACTCAAATAAGAGTCCTTTGATAGTCAGCAAATACCTTTCTTTAGTCTAGGAGTTGATCCAATTATTAAAGGAAAGAGAGGGATCATTTAAAGTGCCAATTTGAGTACTTGTCAGTTAGAAATCCAGGAATATTTTGGTGAGAATCTGGAATGTATACATAGCATTTTGTTTTTATGAGAGCATAAGTTCCACCTTGTGCAGCAGTTAAAACATCTAATGCCATTTTATTGTGTAGAACTGTTTAATGCATTTGAGTTATTTTCATGTTTCATGATATAATGTTATTTTGAGAGTCATTTAAGGCGTCTTTCTTTAAAGAAACAATAAAAATATGGGTTAATGGTTAGAGCAAAATCATAAATTGAGTGTCTGAGTCTTGAGATCTGCCAGTGAGAAGATTTCTATGTGACAGGCTTGAAGTCTCCTCAAAGGGAGTGGGAACAGGCAGTGGGAATTGGATGGGTTTTTCTGGTTTGTAACTCAAATGACTGTGGTGATCCTTTTTTTTTTTTTTTTTTTTTTTTTACAAATAGTTTATTGTCGGGGCGCCTGGGTGGCTTAGTCGGTTAAGCGTCCGACTTTCGCTTAGGTCATGATCTCGCGGTTCGTGGGTTCAAGCCCCGCATCGGGCTCTGTGCTGACTGCCAGCTCAGAGCTTGGAGCCTGTTTCAGTCTGTGACTCCCTCTCTCTCTGACCCTCCCCTGCTCACGCTGTCTCTCTCTCTCTCTCTCCTAGAAATAAATAAAACATTAAAAAAATTAAAAAAAATAGTTTATTGTCACGTTGGTTTCCATATAACACCCAGTGCTCATCCCCACAAATGCCCTCCTCCATGCCCATCTCCCCCCTCCCCCCCGACACACCCATCAGTCCTCAGTTCATTCTCAGCATTCAAGAGTCTTTCATGGTTTACCTCTCTCCCTCTCCCCCACTATTTCCCCCCTTCTTCTCCCCTGCGGTCCTCCGTTAAGTTCCTCCTAATCCTCCTATATGTGCAAACATATGGTATTTGTCCTTCTCTGCCTGACTTATTTCACTCAGCATAACACCCTCAAGGTCCATCCACGTTGCTACACATGGCCAGATTTCATTCTTTCTCATTGCCATGAGTATTCCATCGTATAGATAAATGTGGTGATCCTTTTGAATGGCACATAGAGCACCAAGAACAATGCTTGTCTTTACATGAGTTTTGTGACAATTTCTCTGAAGTTTACCTCAATTTGTCTAATGTAGGCAAACAACGAACATTTAATGTCAATCAGAACCAGAACTGAACATCCATAAAGGCGCATTATTGAAACATAATCTTTCTCTATATTAACCCTCATTTCCAGAGATAGCCAAATCAAGACTAATTCATTTGTAGAACAAGTCCAGTTTTAACAGACTTGATTTAACAGCTTGATTATTTATATAAGCTCAGCGAGAACGGCAACTGGCCATTCAGATCTTTTAAAATGTGCTTTGCTGGGAAATACAAATCAAAACCACACTGAGATACCACCTTACGCCGGTCAGAGTGGCTAAAATGAACAAATCAGGAGACTATAGATGTTGGAGGATGAGGAGATGAGCATGTGGAGAAACGGGCACCCTCTTACACTGTTGGTGGGAATGTAAACTGGTACAGCCTCTCTGGAAAACAGTGTGGAGCTTCCTCAAACAATTAACAATAGAACTCCCCTAGGACCCAGCAATAGCACTGCTAAGAATTTACCCAAGGGATACAGGAGTGCTGATGCACAGGGGCACATATGCCCCAATGTTCATAGCAGCACTCTCAACAATAGCCAAAACATGAAAAGAGCCTGTGTCCATCAACTGACAATGGATCGAGAAGATGTGGTTTATCTATACAATGGAATCCTACATGGCAATGAGAAAGAATGAAATCTGGCCATGTGTAGCAACGTGGATGGAACTCGAGGGTGTTATGCTAAGTGAAATAAGTCAGGCAGAGAAGGACAGATACCTTATGTTTTCAATCAAATGTGGAACAGGAGAAACTTAACAGAGGACCATGGGGGAGGGGAAGGGGGAAAATAGTTAAGGAGAGGGAGGGAGGCAAACCATGAGAGACTTTTGAATGCTGAGAACAAACTGAGGGCTGATGGGTGTGGGGGAGAGGGGAAGGGGGGTGATGGGCATGGAGGAGGGCACTTGTTGGGATGGGCCACTGCGTGTTATACGGAAACCAACCTGACAATAAACTACAATTAAAAAAGTTTTTAAAAATGTGCTTTGCTTGAACTTTTTATAAGGAATCTCTAGGGTAAACTTTCAGTAGCTTCTCCAGGCCAGGAGCCAAGCCAAGTACTTGCCATCAGACAGGCCTGCAGTACCTGTAGATTTGGGCAAATTCCTTCCATGAGACGTCCTGAGGTTCCTGTACCTGCCAGGAAGTGACCTTCTTCACTCACCTGGTGAGGCTGCTGGGAACCCTGTAAGCAAGGTATCGGCCAACATTTCCAAGGGGCCTTATTGGCTCCATGTTGCATAAAGTCAGTCTTAGTTCCTGAAAGCTGTCTGGTCATATTTGAGTCTATGCATGTCACTCTCAAGTATGGCATTCCAGTCAAAGCCTTGGTAAAATAACCAGTATTTCCAATCATGCCCTCTTACAAGGAGAACAGACTCTTACTGAACTTAGGCAAATAACTGTAATTGCCATGAAAGAAAGAATACGCACCGAGAGTGTTTGAATTTAAGAGGGTTCAGGTAGAGAGAAAAGTTAAACGCCTCAGTTCGTTCACAAATGAATACTGTGTCACGTTTCCGTATATCATGGATATTTTAAGAGAAAGTTTCCTTAATCTGGAAAAGCAAACATTAAAGAGCCAGCAGTGTTTTCAACACGAGCCAGAAGAGCTATGATCTTCTCTACCTTAATTTACTTAGTCCCATGTTACTAATTCTTATTCAGTTTGAATGCAGCTTTTTAGTTCTGGAAAGTTTTTACCCATTTGTTTGATGATCTTAAAGATGTCAACTCCCTGCATTTGTCCTAAAAGTCCTTTTTATAAATCTCCTTGAAGATGAAACATGTTCTGTAAGAGCATCAGGGCAATAACTATAAATGACAAAAGTCGCAAAAATGGACATGATGAACAACCTGATAGGAAAGTTCGTTATGATGCAATCGAGAAGGAAATTCAGTTATTTCTGTGACACATAACACTTTGAGAATTGAAATGTTAAGTGATGACCTTATACCAAAACATATGAAAACTTTAGTAAATTTATATATATATTTGAACCGTTATAACATTTACGCGAGCAATACAACCTAAGGCTTACCATTATTGTATGACATAGCTTGTCAAGTAACATACCAAATAAAAAGGCCCAATTGGTCAAAAAGATTTCATTTACAATTTAAATCCTGGGAAGGTTGTTAAAACCTTAGAAAGTTATAAAGCGCATCCTAAATAGGATCACAGATCATTACCAATCTTATTTATTTAACTGAGGCGGCTATAAGAGATTCTAAAGGCAAATATGGAGGGTTATGTAGTTGTTAGTAAAACCTAGCTCCTTTAGCACTGAGAAGTTTTAACTAAATAATCAAAGGCCTGATAAGAGAAAACATAAGCCTTTGGTTTTCCCAGAGACAAAAGAGAAAAGACCTTTGTTTACAATTTTTTTTTTTTTTATCAAGAGCAGATTAACAATCCAAGAAAACTTTGTCTCCTGAACAGAGAGAAAAGTAGAATTTCAGCCTTCTACCAGTATATTTAAAAAAACGTTTTAATGTTTGTTCATTTTTCAAGAGACAGACACAGAGCACCAGTGGGGGAAGGGCAAGGAGA